TGGGTGTAGTCTTGATGGCAATAAGAAAACTTTGGCTAGACCTGGTAGGGTTAGCTTTTGACAAAAATTTACACTATTTAAAGGCACAGGCAGTTAGGTTCTCAGGATCTTCCCACCATAAAGGTGAATATTCAGATCAGATAAGAAAGTTTACTGTCTTCCAGAAGTAACCTCTTTACCTGGTAAGCTTATATAATGCATTTTGACAATTTAATTACTCGCTTATTTTCTTGAGCTATATACGCAGTTTGACTGAAATAGAATAATTGCTGAAGATCGAGTGTAGTGACGGCTCTATTTGCTATCAGAAAATTTGCTTTTACCAGAGCCACATTCACACAGCAGAAATTCCCCACGCTGGTATTTCTTCTTGGCTAAAAATTTCAGAAGACTTCTGTCTAGTGTCCTGGGTCGTCAGTCATAGGCAGGTAGGTTGAATTTAAGTTGCATGAATGTGGACGTATTTTCCTATATCCTGTCCAAATTCAGATTGATGCCTTGTTGTGTGATGACTGAGAACTTCCACAAAACAAAGGCTAATTCCTGGCTGGAGAGGAGCGCTCACATGTACAGCCCAGAAGCTTCTGCTGATTCACTTACTGGAGAAGCTTTTTCTTTTCTAGCCTTCCGTGCTGCAGGAGTTGCTACTGCTGTACATTCCCTGCTATGAACTCTAAAACACTTTCAGTTTTTTCAGTTGCAGCCAAGAGAAGGGAAATAGCTGTCTACCCCCATACATCTCTACCCCATCTCCCTCTGTACTGTTGTGAAGGGGGCTGGAAGTCAGACATATCATTAGGTTTCTCCTCTCCTTTTTTCCATTCCTGTATGTTACTGTACCAGTAAAATCAGTAACGTAAATCTGTTAAGGATATGCAATGGCAACTGTTCTTTGTTCTGCCGGGAAAAAAAAGAATCCCCGACAAAACGGCAAAGCTATACTTCAGTACAGCTTGCAATCATGCAATCTATATATAGCTCAAAGCATTGGCAAATGAACTGCTGAGCAAGGATGGAACTATGTCTTTTGCAGGTAGAGGCCACCTTGTCCAGGACAGCGGGTCTTTCTACAACTTTTTTCTCACCTTGAATTCAGTAGAACTGGGTCTGATATCTTTTGGCATATTGTAAACCAGAGCAGATCTACAAAATTTAATGCAATTTCTGCACCAGTGTAAGGTTGTGACTGGGCTTTTTCGCTAGGAAAGAGTCACTTCCTTTTGGATTTGTCGATTCACAGGGGGGTTTTTTCAGATTGGTGTTTGGGTACACTTGATTATAGTCTTTCCTTTCCCCAACATTACATATTACTTGTCCATATCTGTTACTTGTCCTCTTCAGCATTCTTCTTTTCTCTTTACCAGTAGCATGCTTTAAATCAAAGTGGACTGGGTGGTTTTTTGCAAGACTATTTTTTAAACACCACATTACTGTAGTCAAATTCAAGTAAATGACTTCAATAGAGACTGCACTGAGTGGAACATAAATCAAACAATGTATAAATACAAGCAAACAGTTTTAAATTATCTATTTATCTTTTTTGGCCTAAAACTCTCTGAAGCTATAAAAAGGAGGATGTGGGAAAACATCTTGCCAAAACTGACTTTTTAAAATTGTCTTTCCATTACTTGTTTTTTGTTTATTTTTCCAGAGAATTACGTTAGTAATTCATAACTACCAGCTAAAGCAAATCTGATTTAAAAAGGAAACACAATCCAAAACCTTGGGAGATGTGTGCTCAGCTGAAAAGTAGTGAATAACAGTAATGTAATTAGGGTGAAAGGAGTCTTGCAAAGAAAAAAAAAGGATATGGGGGGGGGAAGACATTCTCAGTTATTTTAAGACCTTAGGTCATAAGTTAGGTCATGAGCTTCTTAGCATTTGGTGTGATATCTGAGTAGACCCTTGGATTATAGATCAGGGCAGGTGCAGAAGATTGTACTATAAATACTTTTACCCTTAAGGAGTTCACAAGTTTCTTGAATGACAAATGGGACAGAAACATATTAGTTCTGAAAAGGAAAATTACTAAAATAATTTTAGAAGAACTCAAAGCTTAATTTCCCAACTAGTCATCCCATAATTCTTAATTGTAAAAGCTAAAATGCTGTTCACCATTACCTTAGAAATGTTAGGGAAAACCTTTTACAGAGTTAGAGGATGTATTCATTAAGCATGACTGGCATGTTCAGGGGTATTTCTGTACTCGTTGGCTGCCCACTGAGCTGTGCAAAGAACTGACCGTCAGGATTCCTACCTTCCATTTTAGGGCCTTCTCTTGCCTTATGGCTGGAGCATATTATGACCAGTTCCCTCAGGGGAAGTTTTGACATTTATACACTTCTGAGAAATACTGTCCCCCAGCTTCCTTAGTGCAAAGCTCTTGGAGACCCTTACAGGATAAAATACCCTAACTGTAGTGGTATAACCTACCTAACTTCATCAGTATCTATTGACTTATTTATTTTCCGTGTGAATACAGATGTTTTCAGTTTCCTATTTTTTGATGATTTGCCACACTCATGTTGCTGCTCCCCTTGTCCTGAATGAACCTTCCCATTTTACAAGGGTTGCAGAGGTCTTGGAGAGCTTTGGGAAATTAGTTTGTATTTTATTTATATTTGCCTCCCTATGAGGGAACACTCCACTTTTCAAATGACACATACAGCCCTATGAGTTTACTCTGACTGTCCTAATTTGAATCCTTAATCATCTTTGAAGAGCCATGTTTTCATAGAACTGGTAGAACCAGTTGTAGTATAAAGTTAGGTGTAATTTCCTGCTTATTCCTTTAAAAAAAGAAGAAGAAGAAGAAGAAAAGGAAAAGTAACTCCAAGGGTTTGTTTGAAGTTTTTCCAAATTAATATATCCACCTACACTTTTGTCCGTTGGCAGAGTCAACAGTGTGAACTCCCTTTGACCAGCCCAATCCATGCACAAAAAAGCAGGTCCTTCTCCAAGCAGATTTCTGCCTATGTCAAGGGATGTATGACATGTCAGAAACGTCGTGATATAAATGGGTTCCAGCCTTGCTCTGGGAAACGATACCATATTGTCAGTCAGCTTGAAGTGCAACATCACCTACTCATAGGAGGAGTAGTGAATTTCAAAAACAGTATATCCTTCTCTGGTTCTTTGTGTTGGCTGTCTTCATTTTCTAAAGAGCCTGACTAAATTAACAGACTTCAAAACGAGTGCAGTAGGTACTCCCTAGAAGCACATAAAGCTGATGCTAGGGAGTTCCTGCACCATTTGTTAGCAAGAGAGATGAGATAGCCGCTGTGGTGGAAAACGAACAAGGTAACAAGTAGCATTACAGAATTGGTATTACGTCAGAAAAGCAAAGTTTGTGCTGCCTTCTTTTTTCAGTATGCAGAAATAATTTGTGTGCAGCCTTTCTTCACATATCAGTTAAAGAGGGAGAGACTGTACAAGCTGTTTGATTTCCAAGCCACTCTTTCTTAGCCAGCTGAAACAGAAATTTCCAAGCAATTGAAATTGTTAATGAAAGGTATAGCAGGCATGTTTACACATGTCTGTACTTTTCATATTCTCTCTACAAGGAAAGAAAAATTTAAATAGCCATCAGCCAGTTCAGCCCCATGGATACAGGGTCATCTTGATACAAACAAAGCTTATCAACTGGACATTTTCATGTAAGCGGAACCTCGAGATTCTGTTTTTCTGTGGAGGTGATTGCATTCTGTAGGTATGCCTTTAAAAAACTTGCAGTTCCTTTCCTGCTCCCCATATCTGGTACTTTCTCACATATCCCAGAGGGCTCCCATGTCAGGGCTAACATTCTTTTAGAAAAATGGAGCTGCACAGGAATTCTTTAAGAGCCTATCAGCACCACTCCCAAATGAGCCAGACAGAATTCTGTTTGTTTAATTTCGCAAGACATTTGCTTTCCCCAAGTCAGAGGAGCTACCTCAGTGAACTCCCAGCCATGACCCTATACTTATTCAGCAAGTTTTTGTGGCAGAGGAGTAAGTTCTCCTAAACTAGGAACAAAACATACTGATACATTTAATAGTGCAGTCGGGTTGCTGAACAATGTGTAACTGGGTGTCTTTTATTTGCTATGCTGAACCTCGGAAGAAACTTCTAATTGGCTATATTGTAAAAGCAAGGTAAGGGCAAAGAGAAAAACTGCGCTTTAGAGCTGGCTGTGACTAAACCTGCAGGCTTTTCCAACGCTTTGTTGTCTGGTGGTTTTAAACATCCCCTGACAGCGCAATGCTGTTTATATCCCGATGGGTTTAAATAGTATTTTTTTGGAACTGATGGATAGGGATGAGTGAACAATATTGCCTGTATAGAAAAGAGAGAATTTCACCCTCCAGAAGCTTTATAATCGTTACTATTATTACTATTGTTTTACTGTTCTTGTCGTAGGAAGCCGGCCCGTCCCCTCCTGCTGCAGAGCCCCGTCCCCTCGCCGTGTGCCGCCGCCCGTACCGAGCGCCCTCTCGCCTGCTGGGGCCTGCGAGAGACCCGCCGTCAGCCGGAAC